AGATTCCCAAAGGCATATGTATATATAACAATCCTGCAAAATATAGATCGTTCTGTAACAATGAATCACTGAATCAGACTAAGTATTTTCGGAGTTACTGACCAAAGCAAAGAATAATATAGAAGAGTGAGCCATGCTCCTTTAAAAAAACACGGAATTGCATATCTCCACAGAGAAGACAACTTAGTGTGTACACTGAAAGACTAAATTTACTGAAGCCAATTAAATAATTTAGAGGTTTACAAACTGGCCGTAGGTCTTAATATCTTACTAAGATCTTAAAAAATCAAAATGGTTGGATTAGCCATTATAGAAAAGGCCAAGCTTATTTACCTAAGTAGATTAAACTATTTATTCATAATCCTAGAGTGTTTTCTTTAATAGGAAGAATGAATTAATGATGTTTAATGTAAATTAGTTTTCTTTTCCATGTATTTCTTTCTATGCCTCTCTATTTTCAAATATTGACTGTGTGCCTACTGTGTGCTCAGCACTTTCTTACCTACAAGGATGAAGGAATTCCTCCACACTATGTCTCAGAAGTCTTCCCATTTTTAAAGCACATCATTAAGAAAGTACTATTTGAAAGTTTCCAAGAGAGTCTACCAGTAATACACGGAGAATATACACTTAGATTTATTTACTGTAATTAGAAAATAACACTTGAAAGTTATAACGTTTTAGCCTTTTCACTCCCACAAAAACAGTCACCAAGAGCTTTTTAGAGAAGATGATTTGATTTCTGAGTAAAACTATGGCAGAGCTTTAACAGTCATCCAAATTGTAACTCAATAGAAATATGAAAAATATACTTTACAGGCAACACCATGCAACATAGCTGGAATAAATTATTATTAATGTACACTTCTGAAAAGATGGAATCTAAAAGTAATAAGAATGGGTTTTTACAAATGGGTGCTTAGCACTAGTTATTGTACTATTTTGAGTTTGTTGCTATAGTTGTTTACTATAAGAAAAACACATGGCCTTGTCAAAGCCTGTAAAACTAATGAAGGCATTTATATACAGAGCTCAAAAAATATTTTCGTACAAGCTGTACTCATTAAGAAAAATACCAGTGAATTCATTAAACAAAAACTAAATTCAAATCAACAATGCCTTCAAGGCTAATCACTCTCAACTGAAAGGTAGCAAGGACTTAAAGGGTGGTGATTAAGCATGTAAGGATACTGCTTATCCAAGTATGGACCGTTCTTTTGCTACTGGGCAGAGGATCAGGGAAAGATGAGGGATCAGCACATGGTGGATGGTGTGGTAGGTTGTTTGTTCAGCTTTAGCCGCTGACCTAATGGAAGATCTTCTGCCCAAAAAGAACCACACAAGACAGGTGTGTAAACCTCCAGGCTGGCAAGCTGGGGCTGAGTCAAACTACTGGAGTGCCTGCTTGAATATTGATGTTGGGAAGTAAACCCTTTTGGCCACTAGATGGAGATCAGGTTACTCTGCCAGTGACAGGGGAGGCTGCTTGTAGCCAGCAAGGGATAAGTAAGTAGGGGACTGAGAATATACACTTTTTTTCCTTAAGACTTTTATGAAAGGTATTTTTCAAGCTGCAAAATCAAGAGCAGACCTATGCTGAATAAAGAATCCATAAAGGAAGAATAGCTTGAAGGAAAGAACAGGAAGGGATTCCTATGTAGCTTTGGTTACGCAAACTACTTGTAAATAATAACATCAGTTACTCTAAATAAAAACAATGAAATACACTGTCTCATTATTTACCAAGCAGTGAGAAAGAAGAAGAGAGATCTGTTTAAACATAAATATGCATACTCACAGTTTGTTTCTCAGTAAAAGTATGTATGTAAGTATGCAGTTTGGTTTTTTTTTTTTTTTTTTTTGAGAGGTTTCTGCTATAGGGCGCGTGTGCTTACTAGACAGACAGAGAGAGACAGACAGAAAGCGAGAAATCACCCCTCAGGGGGGATGGCCACACCGCAATCCCTTCTCCTCCATTCTCCTCTTGGGATCTTGGGCACGCATGCACATGCACCTGGTGTGAGTTTAAGCCACTGGGTTTGGGACTCGAATCGTGGTCGACAACGTGGGAGTCCAGTGACATAGCCATTGTGCTTATTGCTGGTCCCAGTATGCAGTTTTTATATCAATCAAAACAGATCGAGGTATCTTAGGAAAAGGAGAATGTTAGATATCTATCGTCTATTCTATCACATGTTCTAATTTTCCAAATGAAACTATCATTCAGTAAAGAATTATATAACTTTATTACTAAACAAGTCTTATTTTTGTTGTAGCTGAACCTTGAAGTAGACATTAAAGTTAGAATTTCCAAGGAAAATTCTTGTGGTAGGGAACTTTAGATATAACACTATATAATGAAGCCGAATATTTTGATTATTCTTTATATTTTATTTACTCATTTCCTTCATATGAGAGAGAGGCAGACAGGAAAAGACAAAGAAAGAGGCACTCACAACAGGGTCTTCATGCCAGGATCTTGCCCCCAGCGAGGTCTAAGCTCAGGTAGGGCTGGAACACGCACCCAGGGCCTTCCCATATAGTTTCCAGTGTGTGCAGTAGCTCCCCTGCTGTCGTGCCACCATGGCTGAACCTATTTTGATTACTCTTAAAATGTCAAGTACAGGGACCAGCAGATGGCATAATGGTTATGTTGCTGGACTCCCATGAGTCAACCATGGTTCTAGTCCCAGACCCAGCAGCTGAAACTCACAGTAGGCACATGTGTGTGCATGCCCAAGGAGAATGGAGGAGAAGGGATTGCAGTGTGGCCATCCCTCCTCGGGGGGTGATTTCTCACTTTCTGTCTCTCTGGCAAGCTCATGTGCCCTATAGCAAAAATCTCTCCAAAAAAAAAAAAAAGGGTCAGGTACAATAATTCTGTCATTTCCAATTTGGTAACTATATATTCATTCAATAAATACTGATTTGGGTACATAACAACAAACAGATCATTTATAATAGTTTAGAAAAGAATTCTGTTATCACATAGCTTCAATTACAGTGTAATTTGGTTGTCTGTGGTTGTGAGCATTAACAAGCCAATTACTACGCTAGCAGCTAGAAATACAAGGCTGTGCAGCAGTCAGTGAAGTCCCTAGGAAGAACTACAAGGTTAAAGAGCAAATAGGGGTTAATTTTTGCAGCAGTTAAAAAGTGTCATCAAAATCATAGGTAAAATCCTTTTTAAAGTATTGGTGAGGGAAAAAATAATAAACTGGGCGAGTCCTCAAATAGGTGGCTGTGGTTCCAATTCCAGCTTTTGTGCTTTGAAAAACATGTCAGGCTTATGTGTACGTGTGTACCCCAAATTCTGATGGGATGGAGAAATAGAGGAAAGAGGACTGTGGTGTGACCATACTTCCATTGAGGGGTGGCCTTCTCTCTCTCTCTCGCTCTTTCTCTGACAAGTACACACAGCCCCTAGCAGTTAAAAAATTTTTAAAAAATAAATTTAGATCACAAATCTTTTATTTTTAATTATTTATTTGATTTTATTATTATTATTTTAAAATTTTCTATAGGGCATGTGCACTCTACCAGAGAGAGACAGACAGAGAGAGAGAAAGTAAGAAAGCAAGCCACTAAGTCCAGGACTTGAACCAAAGTCAGCTGTGTGGGAGTCCAGTGCCTTAACCTCCATGCCACCTGCTGGCTCCACAGACTACAAATGTTGAACACAGAAAAAAATATGATCTTTGATCTCTTTAACATATGAGAAATTCAAATAAGGTATAAGAAATTAGAACACAGTCTTACTACTAGCCACCAATGACTAGACAATGGAAATAGGAGCTTAATTCAAAGAGAGAAGAAACTAATGTTGAGAATAATAAAAGAGAATCATAAGTAATATGTTTTCTAAATGTTGTTATGGATAGCAACCAACACTCAGTCTGCTGCTGTAATAGATCTACTGCACTTAATGGCATATTTATTTTAGAGCAATACATTTGCTTTTACTCAGTTAAATAAATATATTTATATCTCTTCAAAAGAATTTTAATTTCCTTACATTGTTTGGAGATTTTCAAAATGTCTCTATAAGCTTTTAAAGATCTAAGAGAAATATGTATTATTCATTCTCAACTATATTTCTCTCTCTTTTTAGGAAAATCAACAAAAAATCATGTAAAATAATAATTATTAGTGGGGACTCAATGGAATCATTTGTAGAAATTTCTGATTTTGTTAACTGGCTCTTTGCAGAGCAACATGGCAGGCAGACACCTCTCTTTCTATTTGCTAGATAAGAATGAAATGTAAACAAAGATATTTGGTTCTAAAGATTAAATAAATACATTGCAATAAATCCACTGGGTATACACTTTAGTATACATGGGCATATGTCCTTCCTCATTCTTTAAATTAGTTCCAGACAGCAACTAGACTAGGTCAATGACTGAGTCATTTCTGGGGCCATCGGGTTTCCTTTCGGTTTGACAGCCTTTTCCACATTTCTCCCCAGTGCAGAGCTGGGTCCACTTATTATGACTACTAAACTTGCATTATCTGGAAATAAGAAAGTTGGTAAAAACATGCTATTGAATACACAATTTTGCTTATCTTCTCTAGTCTAGAGTTTGGGCCCTATAATAATTTGCAGTACCTTTGATCTTCAATGTTTGGTTTCCTAAGTGGGATGTAGAGATGCCGGACAACAATGGTAGTAAATGTAAGAACAGATGCAAAGGTGGTGCTGGAAACCAGTTAATGCTTAAGGTTAAAAAATAAAAGTTGATGACTGTATTTGCATGTTGTGATGTCAGTGACTTGTACATTTAAGCACTGGCAGAAAAAAGGCCCCTCCCCACTTTTAAAGGTTTTTGCCCTAGATGCACTGATTTGTCTTTTTTTATTATGAGTCCCAAAATTATTTTAGCTATTTTAAGTCACTCCATTGAATCACTGGGCCAGAAGTTTATTCCAATGTTGGCATTTGGAACTAAATTTATATCTGAACTCTCACCCTTAAGAGGTAAGGTCAGCGCAAGTGGTACCTGCATATGTCTGTCACCTTCTTCTCCAATCATGTTTCTCCATTCCATGAGGGATCGTTGTAGACGTTCAAGCCCAGTTTCCCAAAGCCTGATGCAACCTCCCATATCAACAGTAACAACACCGCTTTTGTCCCACTCAGCTAGTAGTGCATCCGTGTCGGAAATAGTAGACAGCCATGTGGTATATGGTGAGAGGGATTCTGTTCTGAAAAGGAAATCCAAAGTGAAAATAAGATACCATATAATAAAGCAGGATGAATGTTCTTTACAGTTTAATAAATATGCTTACAACAGTATTTATTCCATTCTACCTGCTCTTACCTATCTCCTAGCATAGACAGGTTATAGGAATATGTGTTATACACAAAAGTGAGACGTAGAAACATACTAGAACTTGAAAACATGAGACAGGACAATAAGGAATATTAAAACCAAGCTTTTTTTTTTGAGAGAGATTTTTTGCTATAGGGCATGTACACTCACCGGAAAGACAGAGAAAGACAGACAGAAAGCGAGAAATCACCCCCTAGGGGGGAGGGCCATGCAGGAATCCCTTTTCCTCTATTCTTTTCTAGAGATTTTGGGTACGTATGTGCCTGGCATGAGTTTTAAGGTGCTGGGTCTGGGACTTGAACTGTGGTCAACTACATGGAAGTCCAGTGACGTAACCATTATAACATCTGCTGGCTCCAAAAGCAAGCTATTTTAAGAAAAATGTTTTTTATAATTAGTCACAGCATGTAACTTATTGGTAGTTTAGATAATGAAGCTAGTTTAAACTGATTTAGGTTCACTAAATTTGCTATAAAGAATTTGAACTGAATATTTATGTCCTTCCAAATATATATATTAAAAGAGCTAACCCTCAATATAATGGTATTGACAGGTTGGGCCTTTGGCAGGTAATTAGGTGTAGGTGAGGTCAGGAGGATAGAGTCCCCATGATGGGATTAGTATCCTATAAGAAAAGAGCGGAGAGCTTGTGCACATTCTCTCTGTCTCTCTCTCTCTTTGACCCAATTTTGTTATGTTAGGATACAGCAAGAAGATAGTAATCTATGAGAGCCCTCATTAGGAAGAAAACTAGCTGAGACCCTGATCTCACTCTCCCAGTCTCTAGACTGTGAAAGATAAATGTGTCTTTAAGCCATACATTTGGTACAGCATTGGTATTGTGTTACGGCAGCCTGAACGGACTAACACAGAATTCTAATAGTATGTACATGAAACGATTTTAGATTCCAACAGATCCGTCTTTAAGGAATAAAAGTACACAAATGTTTATTATTTATATGTTCTTGTATTTGTGAACCCTACATGACATTAGTTTTCACTGTTAGGAACAAAGAAACTCTATAGTGACTCAGACTTCACATACCTGCAGGGGTGGACTTACTCCTTAGGGGTCTAATGTCTGCGCTGAAAATAGTGTCTTGTTTATGCATTTCAACTGCATTGGATATGTTAAATAAATAAATAAATATATGTTTGTGTGTATATATATATACACACACATACATATATATATATATATACATACACATACTCACACACACATATATAAACACACACATGTGTATATAATATTTTATATACACACGCACACACATACACACATATACTTCCAGGAATGCAACTTTTGTCTAAAAAAGTTAATTACATACTTCCTATATCTTCATATAGTTCCCACTATACAAAAGTGACACACATTATAATTCTCAATTACTAGTACTAGTGTTGGCTTTCTAAATGCATCTGATATTTTCTGTATGAAATAAATAGTTTCAATGGAGGTATGATCAGATAAAAATATAATAAACTATGTAGATTTTAAAAAAATCACAAAACCATTATGTATTAAGTAAATTCTTATACTAAAGAATAACTCAACACTGTGTTGACTTTTTCCAGTCAGCCTTTCTCCATACTAAGTACAGAATGGCAACGGCAATTACTCTCAGGCTCAGAAATCTTAGAAAATATGTATATAAAAAGAGAACAATAGGAAGGGACCATGTGTTTCAGGACTTTCAGAAGACTCAAAAGAATGTAACATTTGCTACCATACATAACTTACTTCATAGTACACTCTCAAAAAATAATTGCTTTAGGGACCAGCAGTTAGAGTAATGGCTATGTCGCTGGATTCCCACATAGCTGACCCCAGTTCGAGTCCCAGACCCGGTGGCTTAAACTCACGCAGGGCGCGTGTGCGTGCTTGCCCAAGATCTCAATAGGAGAATGGAGGAGAAGGGATTGCGGAGTGGCCATCCCCCCTGGGGGGTGATTTCTCGCTTTCTGTCTCTCTGTCTCTGTCTCTCTGTCTGGCGAGCGCACGCGCCCTATAGCAAAAACCTCTCCAAAAAAATAAATTGCTTTAGAAAAAAAAAATCAGTAACTACAGATAGTGAAGTAAAGACCCATTTAAAAATAATAAACTTTATCTATAACTTATTATGTTTGAAATTCTGCCAAGAACACTCAGGGTGTAAGACTATTGAACATTGTATCTACTAGCTGCCCTTAGGTAACTCCTCACTGCAAACTTTATATTTATAGGGGCAATTTCACTAATAGGTCAAAAAAGAAAAAATAGTAGTACTAGATAAATTACATATTTACTATGATTTTCTCACTAGTTCTAGAATCTGATATTTTTTAAAAATGCATGTTCTTCTTATAATAATAATAATAAAGTTTAAAATGAACACATAGTTTTAGTAGGGTGAAGCCTAGATCTATATATAGCCACATATGAGAGCTAGGGAATACTGATTTACAAATAAAAATGATGCAAAAAAATTAAGGGAAAAAAGTGCAAGGGCAAAAGTGATGTATTCATTTTGGCCCTGTAGTTACATATAGTTTTATTGTATTTTCTATTAATTGAAGTTAGACATCAAATGGAAAATTCCTAATATCTTGCAGAATGCTAAATTTAAGCTGCTAGCAAAAAACATGAAATCCAGATGGGCTGTTCCCTTGGATTATATATGAGTGCCAAAAATAGCAATAACTAATCTCAAGAGAAACTCAGGATATACTGACAATGAAACCGACTTTAAATCACATGACACTTGAAATGTAACAAGTCCAACTTGAGAGGTGCTGTCCAAGTAAAAGACATACTGGACTTCAAAGACTTAGAAGAAAAAAAGGAATACAACAGAGATCATTAAAGTTTTCATACTAAATACATATAAAAATAATAATATTTTGGATACACTGGGTTAAATAAAAATATACTAGTAAAATTAATTTCACCTGTTTCTTTTCACTTTTTTAACGTGGCTACTAAGAAATATAAAATTACATAGATGGCTTGCAGTATATTTTCATTGGCTATCGCTGTTCTAAATGAGTGAATTATGGTGAGCAGCTGGCTGGCTACACACAAAGCCACTCTTCCAAATGTTCTTTCCATGGCAAGTAAAACGTGGTTTAGACAGAAAGTTAAAAAAGAAAAACACTGAAATAAAACTTAATGAGGGAGAAATTAAGAGAAATATTGGAAAAAATTCCCAATGCATTAGGAACGTTAGAAAAAGATGTATTTTGCTTTTGTTACTTATAGTATATTTTAATGAGCATACAATTAAGATGAAATAAGGAATTTCTTCAAATGACTAAAGACATTTTCCATTAAACTAGCACATTAAGATGTTCTAAGAAATCATACTTATATGTATACTGGAGTAAGTACAGTCATTTCTTTGAAAGATGATTTCATTTTTTCATATTTTTTGAATCTGATTAAAGGGTCCTAAGGAAAGAAACTATGTTTCTAAGTTATTTTGTATTGTTGTGCTGAGCTATTTTCTGCTGGGGGTTGAATGACACAGAAAAAAGAAGACCTGATGACATTTTGGGTGACCGACAGGTTCTGGTGTTCCTGGACTTCTGACACTGAAAGGCTCTCCAGGCTCCTAAGCTTGAAATTTCAGGTAAGGCTTTAACCACTGTGTTATGAGGGTTCAGTCATATGTAAGTGAGTGGTGAGTGGAGGGGACGCAATCTCAATCTAGATCCAAGTGGAAAGATTAGAGGAAAGAGGCTTTGGCCTAGAACAAGGGGTGAGATCAAGGCTAAGCAGAGCAAAGCAGGTGCAAGCTTAAGTTGCAAGAAGCAGATAAGGCATGGATCCATCCAGAAAGGGATGGACTGCAGGTGAGGACACCTGTGTTTCTTCAAGGGTAGAGGAACTGCTTTTGTATTCTGACTCCAGCTAGTTTAATTTGCTTTATTTCCATTGCTGAATAAGAGCAGTGAACACTAAAGCATTTCATCGAAATCTCTGGACTCCTCTGGCTATAGCCTTCAGCACTGAACGCACAGTAAGATATTTTAAAATAATCTTAAACAAAAATGTCATTTAATTCTTTTGACATTTTGAACATATTTTACTACAGAAAACGAATATATAAAGTTAATAAATATTGAAATTTCAGCAATACAAAAAGTACTATTTTAGATACAGAAAAACTTACCATTAGAACAGTTCAAACGAAAGAGAAGTAAGGCTTAAAGACTTACACTATGTAACATTTGAATATGCCTCTAAAATAAAGATGAAAATTATAGTAATAATACTAAATATATATAAAAATAATAATATTTTGGATATACTGGGTTAAATAAAAATATATTAGTAAAATTAATTTCACCTGTTTCTTTTTACTTTTTAATGTGGCTACTAAAAAATATAAAATACAAAATATAAAATATAAAATACATAAACTTACATAAAAATATTAAAAACATATAATATAAAATTACATAAAATTACATCAAGCATGTGGAAAAACAACAAGATATGGGGGGAGGTGCAGCAGGGTGGTGGGGGAGCTTGCAATAAAAGGAAGCCAGAAGCACACATATATTTACAATTTATTTATTTATTTGGTAAGAATCCATTTTTTTTCTTAAATGACACACCAAGCTAAAGATAAAGGTAAAATAGATTACCTGGGAATAGGGATATATCGGAGTTTCTTTGATTGAAGATCAGTGACTTCTAAATAACCAGCTGTTTGTGGAGGGGTAACATCTGCAAACAAGTCATGACATGAGCCAAGTACTAAATTACTGCATGATACCAAGATAGGGCAAGAAGAATGCTAGAATACTACCAAAAGTGAAATGATGTTATCGGTATCCTATATTAGAACCTTGGGCCCACTGGACCAGGCACTGCCTCAAGTTTAGTCTTCCTCACTAGATAGACTGAGAATTAAAGACACAAAGATTGCCAAATAGAAACATGTTGGCCTGTGATTTTCTTTTTTTTTTTTTTTTTAGCTTTTGCTATAAGGCATGTGCACTTGCTAGAGAGAAAGAGAAAGTGAGAAATCATCCCTTGGGGGGATGACCATGCCACAATCCCTTCTCCTCCAGTCTCCCCTCAGGATTTTGGGCATGTACACACATGCGCCTGACATGATTTTCAAGCTACTGGATCTGAGACTCAAACCACTTGGTTGGTCATATAGGATCCAGTGCCTTAACCTCTGTGCCACCTGCTGGCCCTGGGTTGCTATTCTTTATTGTCAGAAAATAACCTGAGTTCTTTTCGTTGTCTTTGATAGGTGAGTCAATGTTTTAGCATTTATAATTTATTTGAAAATATTTCATCATCTGAATTCTGTTTTTCCTTTATTTTATTTTTTAAGAGAGATTTTTGCTGTAGGGTATGTGTGCTCGCCGAAGAGACAGAGAGAGACAGAAAACGAGAAATCACCCCCAGAGAGGATGGCCCCATGCCACAATCCCTTCTCCATTCTTCTCTTGAGATTTTGGGCGTGCATGCACATGTACCCAGCGTGTTTTAAGCTGCCAGGTTCGGAACTTGAACCGAAGTGGACTATGTTGGAGTCCAGCAACATAACCTCTACATCATCTGCTGGTCCCTGTTTTTTGTTCTTAGGAAGTCATAACAACACTTAGTGGAAGACAATGCAGAATTGTCACTCACTTTGCAATCATATTGACCTGGTGTGAAGTTCTGGCTCTGGTATTTCCTAGCTGTGTTAGGTTGGTCAAGTTATTTACCACTTGGAAGTTTACCTTTCTGTCTTATAAAATGGGGATAACAATAGAAACTGAGCACCATAATCATTAGTTTGGGGATTAGATGAAGTTAGTTCAAGCAAAGTATATAATTAGATTGTTCAACATACAGTGTCTGTCATAATTAGGGCCCTGACACAGGGGTAGGTGAGGTGAGGATTGGGCAGCTGGGTGAAGACTCTGGATCATGAAGAATATGAAAAAACGAGAAAAGAGAAGAGAGATGAGAAGATAAAGAGATATGGGGGCCAGAGTACCCAACTCCAATTCTAGATTTCATTTCCCAGCAATTCCAGGGCTTTCTACCTTCTATTCCAGAGACCTGCACCCCACCATCACCTTAAAAATCACTAGCTGCTACTGTTATATGTTAGAAACTTGCTTATTTTATAGTGTTTTTATTACTAAAAAAAAGTGTACTTAATGAAAGTGAGAGACGGAGAGAAGGAGATATGGCATCTCCTAGAGGGTCTTGACACTATGATCCACCCACGGTTTCAGCTAGTCCTAAATTGTGGACAAAAGTATGTCTGGCATACTCAGAGCTGAACCAGGAACCGTCTCATGTGGGATTACCTCATAGAGTGTCATACTGTGTCAATATCCGGCCCCAATACTGACAACAAAGACTTGAGATTCTTGCTTGGGAGACAAGGAAGTTTATGGAGGTAATGTACTAAGGCGCTTGTGCTCTGCCTACTACTCCACCTGGACTGATCTTAGGGCAACAGTTACTTGTAAATAGTCCTGTTTCACAAAATTTTAGTTACTAAGTTCTTAACACAAAACAGAACAAAACTAAAAACAAAACTCTCTCACATAGAACCCATGTTTTTAAAGATTTTTCTGCCTACTGACCTATGAATTTATTTTTTCTTAAAACTTCTGATTAGACTGAGACACCTACCTACCTGTCTATCTTTATTATAGCTTTTGATTAGAATGTTCAGAATATGAGGGGGTAGAAAAGAGAATTACTATAGTAATCTGATCACCCACCCGGATTGTCTGTCCCCAAGTGGCATCTGCATCAAATGTACATGTCTATTAAAAGGCACACACTTTTTGCATTGGAAATGCTGCCTGGGATGCAAGTTCTGTCTTGGATAAATTTTTGGGTTATATAAAATTTATATTACTTGATACCTAACTTAAGTACATTGAATTACTTTGCCAAACAATGACCAGTTATTGAAACTGTTGGCATGACTAGAACAGCCTAGCTAACCAACTCAGTCACATTATGAGTTGCCACTTAGAGGTGCTTTTAAAAATGGTATTAATTTGAGCTACCTCCATCAGCCTTTTAGATTGCCTCTGAGTGCAAAGTAAGGCTATTTACCTTAAAATATCTTTTTTTTCTTTTACATATCCCCTTTCTCTCATTGTGCAAATTAATTCTAAAGTATAAAGATGGTAAGAAAATGCAATAAAGTCTATATTTACTATTTCAAAATGGAAAAAGCAAGAATTTTACTCCTGGTATTAAAAGATATTTTGGGGGCCAGCAGGTGGCATGGTGGTTAAGGTGCTGGATTCCCATATGGCTGACCACAATTTGAGTCCTGGACCTGGTGGCTTGAAAACCATGCCAGGTGGGCATGTGTGCAGGTTCCCAAGAGCAGAATGAAGGAGAAGAGACTGTGGTGTGGCCTTCACTCCTTTGGGGTGATACCTCACTTTCCCTTTCTCTATCTCTGTCTGTCTCTCTCTGGTAAGCACATGTGCCCCATGGCAAAAACCTTAAAAAAGAAAATATTCATATTTCAGAAACATTAAGACTGCTAGTAGTGGCAAGTACCTAAAAAACAGTAAAAATTGATGTTTAGTGATTTTAAAATAATTAAGCTTATAAGACAAGCGTGTTTTATGGCTACTTTGAACAGAACACATGACTGAATTAAGGAAATGAAAACAATGGCCAGGTTTCCCTCCAAATTTAGCCATGTCCTCACCCATCTACTGTAAATGTTTCAACACTGTAAAAAGGATAGAGGCTCAGTAAATTTCCATTGCATGTATAATCCAGGTGGATTTAAAAGATAGGTATAAATTGTATTTAGGGATTAGTTCACTAGCCATTAAAGGGAAGTCACTGCTGCAGTGTTTATTGCAGAGTTCCCATGACCAGTAGGGACAGTTTACATGTACAATGCCAAGGTTAGGAGGAGGTATAAAAAACTGTCAGGCAAAACAATCAAAAATGTTTTCAGAGGGAAGGTGAAATTATATTTAAAAATGCACTCTTTCTGGAAATGTAATTTGATGGACACCTGGTAATCACTAGGTTTAATGAATGTCTATTTTTGTTCAGAGATTAAACCAGTAATGTGTGCCCTGAAACTGTGCCAAGACTAAATCTTTGGTTGTATCCAAAGTTCAAAAAGCAATGTACTGCTTTCAATCAAGAATCATTATTTTCTGTTTAAAGAGCTGAGACCTGTGATTTAAAAAAAAAAAAAGGTAACATTTAACTAGGAGAAAAACAATCAAAAGGAAGCAGTAACTTTCTTTTATCTACATTAAATAAAAGTTACCCCATCTCTATGAAAGTCACAGGAGAGTTTTCTTTACAGTTTGTATTGATTTCTTTAAAAAAAAAAAAAAGGCCAATATGTATTACTTTCTAACTAAGAAGGTCATTGGATATGTTTTACTTAAAAAATAAATTCAGCTTGAGTTTTCACTAGAGATCTACATGCTCATAAACTCAAGTGTCAAATAGGTTTAAAGAAAAGAACAGTGAATCCCTGCCCCTCCTTACACCTTCATCCTGATGGTGCTGTCTTCATATTTTAGTTTCAAGCATTATTTCTTGACATCCAACAATGCAAGATGAGGGTTTTACTCTTTTTATTTTTTTAAACTTGCCATGGGGCATGTGTGCTCACCAGTGACAGAAAGAGGGAAAGTGAGAAAGCATCCCGCCTCCACCAAGGGGGATGGTCATGTTGCAATCCCTTCTCTGCCCTCTTCCCCTTGGGATTGTGGGCATACATACACAGGTGCCCAACATGTTTTTCAAGCTGCCTAATCCAGGACTTGAACTATACAGGCAGCCATGTGGGATCCAGTTGCCCCAACCACCATATCACTAGTTGGCCCAGTTTAACTCTTTTTCTTTTTTGTGTCTTCTTCCTCCCACTCCCCATTTTCCATTACAGTTATATGATGATTTTGATAAGATTAATATCTAGTCCTTACATTTATTATGATTCTCTAAGTGCTATTCACAGCTGAACTATGTCTTATGATTTTTTTTCCTTCCCTATAACTTCTTGCTTTTCTTGGAGTTAATATTCATATTTTATTTGTTCCATTTTACTTAGCACAAATACATCCCCAAAAGCCCCTAACTGTCAAACTCTTTAAATATATTAACATATTGGGTCGGAAAAGTCATAACACATTTTTGTGTAAAAAAAACAGAAAAGCATGTCATGACTTTACTGACAATCCAATATATTAGGCTTATCAATTTCACTTTCTTGGAGACACCTCTCTTGAAATCTCACCTGTTCTAATCTGGACTGGCTGATCCGTGGGCCTGGGTGCAGCCGGCATCCTGGGATATCTTATCATTTTGTTCCTAGGGAGGGCTAGCTGGCTGGCTGACTGGATATGTGTATGTGTATGTGTATACAAATATTTTTTTACATGCCACGCTTATTTACTGATTTACTTTAAAAATTAAAATTGTGTTCACTAGAGAGAGATGGAGATAGAAAGAGAGGGAGAAAGCATCTCCCTCACCCAATGGGGCATGGTCATGATACAATATATTTCCCTTTTCTCTAAATTGCTGAGATTTGGGGCATGCATGTGTATTCACCCAGGGTATTTTTCAAGACATTGAGATCAGGATTCAAAATCAGGGTTGGCTATGTGAGATGGAGTCCCCTTAGCCAATAGGCTATGGGACAGCCCACATCCCATATGTATAAATTTTTTCCTATATATCAGACACTGTCCTAAGCACTT